AAAAGGAGGATACGATTATGCATCTGTTGTGCCAGTGCTCTCCTCTATCCAGAAGAAGACTCTCCACACTGGGTAGACAATCCTTCGATAACCTGGAAGACCTTAGATGCGTCGAAATCAAGGATCTTCTAAAATTCCTGCGAAGCTCAAAATGGTTTTAGGAGGGATTGGGAGCTACTGACCCCACATGCGGTATCACAATGAGCCCGGAGCCTAACCGCGTAAACCTACCTACCTACCTACCTACTTACCTACCTTCAACTGCACATAAGTAACATATTTTGTAGCTCTTTACTACCACAACTTTTCCGTAAAAATTTATTCCCTTTAGTAAAATTTGAATTTCCTCACAAAGAAAACTAAGAAATCTATATGATATTTTCGGCTCTTTACAAGGAACTATTCGAAGAATAGACCTTTTATATTTAAGAAATTATATTTTTCTCTGTGCAAGAGATATAAAAATAAGTAGGATGAAGCGGTGTTGTAAGTAGAAAGACAAACAAATGTACAAATATAAATTTATGTATGGGTATTTTTTCAATTAGGAAAAATGGGTATATATGTATATGTACATACATTTGTATTTGCATGTGGTTTTAACCATCTTTTGATATTTGTCTGCAACCTTTTCTGAGCACAATTTCATGACATCTCTAAATTTTTAAATCGCATTTCCAGCTTAACAGCTGTAAGAGATGACAATAGCATAAAAAGTCTAATTTAATTAAATAACAAAAAATGCCCACTCATTGTATGGACATTAGGGTGGTCCAAAAACAGTAGTCGGAGTCGTAATGCTCTCACCCCCTAGGATTGTTCTGTATTGTGAAAAAGTATACCCCTATTTTTATATTTTGACATCAAAAAATATTTAGAGGTCGCTCAACGTTTTCCATGTATTTTTATATGGGAAAAAACAACTTTTCGTAGAAATGGTATAGAATTCTTGAAAATAAATATTTTTCGATCGGCAAACTCTTGTTCTCTTCAGAAACTTTCAATAATAATACCCCATTGCATTTTTCGGGGTTTTTGTGGGTTTATGGCTGACCTATAAATTATAGTTGCGACGAAAAAATGATTAAATAAAGAATTGGGTAGTATTATTGGGAATCTCCAATAGATAAATATTGATTTTTAAGAATTCTATACCATTTCTACAAAAAGTTTTTTCCCATATAAAATACATGGACAACTTTGGGCGCTTTGAGCGATCTCTAAATTTTATTTTTTTTTCTAAATAAAAAAATTGGGGTATATTTTTTCGGTATAGAACAATACTAGGGGGTGAGAGCATACCAATTCCGACTTTACTTTTTACATCCATTTTTGGACAACCCTAATGGACATACATAGCATCGACACCGACAGAATAAGCAGCTAATTTTTTGATAGAAAGCTAATAGGCAGTTCGTCGCCCGGACAATAACCGAGCAGAAATCATTACCTATCTGCCTAATGCGACAAATACATGCATTTACCTACATATGTACGCGTTTCTCACCAAACGATTTGTCATTTTAATTAGTTCGGGATTTAAGAAGCCATTGAACGTGTTCCAAAGTAGGAAAACACACTTTGAGATAACTTCAACACCTAGAACAGAAAAAAAAACAACAAACAGAAACACAAATTAAAGAACCAAAGAAAATAAGTCAGCGCAAGACATGGTGCGGAGTATATCGACCAAATGGAAAATATAAAGTCATCGTAATTATGTTTGTGTACGCTTTTTATCGCATTTTACTTATGAACCAATAAAGAATGTTGCACAGTAGTCAATTCAAATTAACGTTTACTTTTGACTTATTCTTTCGGTTAATTACTACAACCAAATATCATCTTTACCCGTTATTTTGATTCGTTTGTATGTATGTATGTTTGTATGAAGGTATATATATGTATATGATATATATGTATTTTAAGAATTTAAGATAAAACATTGTAAAATTGAAATGTCGGTAATATATGTAAACACGTATGTACATATATGTGGTATGGTTATTGGTGCATATGTAAAATTCATTTTATATGCCAAATACTCTTAAACAAAGAGTGACCGAAATACGTGAGCGCAAAAAGCTTGAAATTCTGGCCGACAGGAAGGGCGCCCCAAAATTTTATCACAGATTTAGGAGAGCACGTAAGGTTCCAAGAGCAGGCGAACTCCTATAAGAACAACCATGTCAACATATGTCCAGAACGTACTTAAATTAAGTTAACTTTTCCACTCTACTGAATAGCAGCAGCCCTGAAAGTTGTGTAGAAGACATACCCGAGCCCACACTGGACGAAAATTCCATCGATGTGCCACCGCCTGACTATGATGATACGCGAATTCCGCTAACTATCGCAGTATCAGTGTTCTAAGCCTAGGTTACAAGGTCTTATCGAGCCTATTGTGTGAAGAACACCGTCAATGATCAATGAAATCCAACTGAGAAACACTCATGACAACAAGTTCTACTTTGGGTTGCGCAGACAATTGAGAAATAAAGAATTCTCTCGTCGTAGAAAAATCACTCTATCAGGCCAATTCTGAACAGAAACTCCCTGGAAGTTTTCTCTCTTTTCCCTTTCCCCTTATCATGAATAAAAATTCCCTGAGGATATTTTATATTAAATGGCGGAAATGAGCTGTCAAAAGCGTGTCAAACAGCTCTCTCGAAGTTCGAATTTCCTCTTCCCAAATTTTCGGGAAATATACTACTCCCTGGGATTTAATTATTGTAGGATTTCTTTCTCGGGAGAAACAAGCTCCCTGGGAGTATTCAGAACTCGGCTGTATAAATCACTCATCATGTCCATGCTGGTTCTGCGAAAGAATTATGGGCCTTTGCGCCTTGGCAATGGCGAATATCGCAGACTATGTAACGATGAGCTGTACGAGCTTTTCAACGATATAGAGGTACAGTGTGGCGAATAAAAATACTTCACTTGGTTATGTCGTACGTATGCATAGAATCGCTCCAGCTCTGAAAGTATTCAACCCGGGTCGCATTTGAAAATGTAATAAGTCGCAAAGAATACAAAAACTTTTCATTCTTCTTTTCTATCTAAGGACGAATTTAAAACTGGTACCGATTTATAGATAAAGGTTCGAAACTATCGAAAATGGATTGCCATCTTTCGTTTACTTTAAATAGTTATTTGTTTCCTTCTGCACTTCACATACACTTTTTTATAGTTTCGAAACACAAATAGAAAATTTGTATTAACATTTTAGCATCTTGTGTCTAACGGAATTTGAGCCTGAGACCTTCTCGAATCTAACCAATAACAACATCACGTCTGCACACTCAGAAACTGCCAAAGGTACGTGTGTAAACGCGTTTTCAAATGCTCATTTTGAATTACATTTCTTGCAATCATTCAAACAAATTTGATTTCAAATTAAGAACACATTTCTTTGAAAATAATTTAAAATCGATACCATTGGAAACCCGAAAATACTCTGTTTTCGAACTAGTTCGGAACTGCATATATGTATAAAAAGGGATACAGCGACAACATTACAATCTTTGCTAGCATGCAATAGAAAATCTAAATTCTCTCGTATCTAACCAGTTCGGCACTATTGAGTTTCCCCACAGGGAAGTAGGTATGACCTGTGTAGTAATAATTAACATCGCCGTCGATGAACTAAAGTAATTTAAAAACATTTACTTTAAATACTTGAAACTTTACCATTTATATGTAAATATTGATAGTAAATACATATGCATAGTATAAATAAAAATTGTCTTAAGCTGAAAATAAACACCAACCGCTGAGAAGTGGAATATGTAGAGTGACGAGTAGTCTCAACAGTAATTTCCATTTAGGTATAACGTGATCGCGTTACTTTTTTTAAATTACAACAAGGTAAGTAAGCAAATAATATGATAATACCCTGGTAAAGGAATAAATAAAAATAAGAAATATGTATGTAAGTATATACTTTGTTGCATTCTCGCAGGTAAAAATGTACTTATAATGTACAGTATGTATATGAGTTATCATAATAAGAGAACTCATAACAAGAATATTCATAGCGATAAGGAGGACAAAGATATGGACTTCCATGGAAATCATATAAACATCGAACGGAACTGATTACATACTTGCTTTATTTATTGATGATCAAACAATGGATTTATTGTAGCAAAAAGTAAGATACTCGTATTCAAAAAATAAACGACAGGTTCTCAATACATACACCTGCCTCAAATGGGGCATTCTGCATTGGCCACAATGTAATTACTAATTGTTAGCAGCCAGTTGATAGCAAGGAAGAAAAGTACAGTAATATGTTGTGTATGTATAATAGTGCAAAACATGTAAGTATGTACATACATATGTACATATCTTTATTCAAATCGCTAAATTAGATCACCCTTTCTAATAAAATTTCATTATAGCATTTTTTAATTTAATTTTAGATTTTTCTTACGAAATCCAGCAATCGACGATAATCGCCTCAATAATATGGCTATAATTCCAATAAGTGGTAAAAAATTAATTTCCAGATAACATCGAATTCGATAAGCAAATCGCGTAACAAAACATTAAAATTGTCATTGGTCATTACTCACACCTTTGCACATATACGTATATAATTGTATGATTGTATATTAGGGTATCCGTTCTTTACCAAGCTGATTTACATATTTCAAAAGTTATATCAATAAATGCTAAAAGTAAAATTGTCGAAATCAAATGCAACGGGGTTTGCCACGATTTATATATTTTAATATTTAAATTTGTTTGGGACTCCTACTTGAATTTGGGACATAATATACATAATTTAACTTTATGAATAACGAACACCCTAGTCTGTGCATATGTACATACATATGTAGGCACTTCGAATTGTGCAAATATTTATAAATATATATTTATGTATGCATGCGCTGACGAATGCTATGTAAATTTATTCAAAGAATTCTAAAATCTTATCTAGCAAAGTCCCATTCTTATCGGCGATTTTTTTTTACTGAAAGAACCTGTTGTTTTCAAATAAGTAAAGCCCCCGATACTCGTTTATGTAAATATTTCTTTTAAATATGTATCGATTGTGAGTAATTATGGTAATAAATTGACATTTTCAATGAAAAGATGTTTCTGTTAAGCTGCATACTTGGATTTTCTGTTAAATATTTGTGTTTCACATAATTTTTTACGATCGCCAGAACCCGTTTAGAGGTTCTCAGGTGACAGGTAAACCTAAAACGAAAGAAGCATATATTACCTCTTCAATTTAAATACTTTCCGAAGAATGATTTTGCACTCACATAGGTTCTGCGACATTTTACTTTGATCAGACTGGAATTAGCATCTTTTTCTAATGGAGAATATTGCATTTATCCCATTTTCCTTAGTCGAGTTAAGCAAGTAACTAGTTAGTTAACTTGAAAGCACTCATTTGGATCAATATACTTTCCGCATTTCAGCTTTGCGACATTTTAAGAAAGTTAGAATACCCCTCGAGTCATGATAAACACAATCCCTCATGGTACGAGCAAAATGTAAAATCTACAAATAAAAAACGATAATAAATCTCCAATTTCATCGCATAGTGGTTCAAACCTGGAATTAACTGTTCATAATTCACTGGGGCCTTAATTTTTCAAGCCCGAATTTGAATTTATATTTGATTACATTCAATTAGTGCAAAGTGCAGCAACAGTATCAATTTTGAAGAAAATCGTTTCTCCTGTTCCAATTAATAAATGTTACATAATAAAAACTAGTTGAAAACAATTGTAGGATTCCTCTAAAATGAATAAAAATTTCACAAGAAAAATTTTAAAATCTATAAAAGAAAATTTGTCACGAAAAATAAAATAAAAATTTAGATTTTAGAAAAATTTTAGGTATGCAGTTTTATAAATTGCAAATTTCCAGCACGTTAATTTTTTATAATTTTTACCTGTTAAGTGGCTCAAGTCTTTAATCCTTGGCTAATCCATGTCTAATCCGTACTACTTAATGTAGAAATCTTTACTCCATATTTACTTTAGTAAGTATTAAACATGTAACAAACAATCAGTAGTAAGGGATTTTATTTTTTGAATTGTAACGTTATTGCAGAGGACCATCGATATGTATATTATTAAAAATCAACGCGAACTCTTAGCCACTTGCAACTTGCACTTTATTATACTAAAATTTAATGATCTACTTATAAAACTGCATACCCAAAATTTTTTCAAAAATTAAAAAAAGAACTTTACATTTTAATGAACATTTTTTTTATAACATTTGCGAAAATTTTTGTTGTTTTGGGGAACCCTACAATTTTGTTCAACAAATTTTTATTATGTAACATTAACTATCTGGCGGCCGCTGTAGTATAGTGGTAACCACTGCGCGCTTCCACAGGTGAGCTGCCGCAGGGCCAGGGTTAAAGGCCTGGTCAAAGCAACATCGCAAAAAAATTTAGAAAAAAGTATTTATCTTAAGAGCGGTCCAAGCAAGAGCCAATCTATTATTATTATTACTATCTGGAACACGAAAATCGATTTTCTTCAAAATGTTACTTTTTCTCCGGTAAACAAAATTTATATAATCAAAAATAAATTCAAAAATCAGCCTCAACTTTGCAAGTGAAAAATGTAGGCTCCAATGATCTATGAATAGTAAATACCACTTTTGAACCACTGTGCATGGGTAACTTGAAAGATGTTCTCCATTTTTTAAGGTAAATTTTATGATAAATTATATGTATAAAAAATACAGAAGGCAGTAATATTCCTTGGATGCATTTATGTCGCTGACTCCTTATAGAGTGCTATTAAAAACGTTGCAAACAGTTTCACCACTGAATACATTAGGGCTATTCGCGATTCGGTGTATAAGAGCTGACAAATTTATGCAATTGCAGAAATATGCCATGGATTGTGAGCGACCTTTATTAAACTGTTATGGCAAAGCTTTTGCAAAACAATTTTTGTGCATCAGCTTTGGTTTTGTTTATGAATGCAATGCATAGCATTTTTATGCTATGGATTTTTGGTATTGCAAATTTGCCAAGCCATGACAAATGCAAATGCGTGTATTTTGTTTGTGTATTGCAAATAATTTGCAACACAAATTTGCAATGCAATGATGCTAGGCCATTTGCACCGGATCGCGAATAGCCCTATTAAGCTAGTTGGTAATAGTTCGCGGGGCAAGAGACGAGGAAATTTCATTATAAAAATGGAATATGCTTCGTCTTGTTATTTGAGTCGTTTAAGCACACAGCTGATAAACTCGTATTCTAGATGTGAGATTTAGTAAGATATGAAATTAATGAAACATCGGCCGTGTTAAAATTCAGAAGAATTCAGCAGTTAGCCCTCACTTTTGCTATTACCAATTCATTTCCTAGTTATTACCTTTTGCTACTGGGTCCCCAAGTATGTGACGTCAATACATACATACATACTAGGGTGACCTTAATGAACCGATTTTTGACAACCAAAGGTTTTCGCACGGAAAAATATAAGGGTTGGGTATAAAAATAAATATGAAATTATTTTCGAAGCCTTCAGATAACTCTTAGGAGTTCCGGGTTGGACCGAAAAGTGACGAAATTGAAGCCAGTTTTTATGAATTTTCATATTTTATAATTTTAAGATGGCGAAGTTTTATTGTGTACCTTTTTATCGAAAATTTCATCGAATAACTTTTCCAAAGTTTCAATTAAGTTTCAAATCGGTTAAAATAACGCAGTATCATAAAATTGCAAAGGCCTTAGAAGTACGGAAAAACACACATCACTAATTTCAACAAGCGGCATTCTTATAATCCGATGTTAATGAAAAGTCAAAAGTGTAACAAAGAGCGTGAACGGCATTTTTTTTTACAAAAATTAAAGTGAACTAAGACAGAAATTTACAAAACAAAGTGAGTTTTAATCTGAAAAATGGCTTCAACATCGGCAAGCTCATCCAGGAAATAATTCCGATCCGATGATTATACAATTTCTTTAGTTGGAAAATGTGAAAGTGAACTCAAAGGTGCAATGTTGCCGAGCATGAAACAAGTTCTTTAATTATTTTTTTTACAAAACGCGGGTGGAAAAAAATTCGGTGAAAGTCGGTGTAAAAAATACAATTGATACTTCCATTTATTTTTATCAAAAAGCAAAAATTAATACGATGACCGCAACCAACTGTGTGAAACAATTTTAATGCCTGCCATCTGCTAGGATTTTTCTATACCGAAAAAAGTTTTACCCCTATTTTTTATTTAGAAATAAAAAAATATTTAGAGACTGCTCAAACAGCTCCAAGTATGCCATGATTCAATAATACAAGGTTAGATAATTATTGACAGCTGCGGTTTGACACTCCCTTACAAAAGGTTGCATTTACGAAGGACAGAGAAAGGGCAAGAATGCAATCCCTTGTTTCGAAAATGGTAGTAGAAAAGTACGCAAAGTAGGCAATTACTAGTGAAATTCCTTTTGTAAATTCTAATGTATTTGCAGGAAATCTGACATTTTAAATGAAATGTTGAACGTAATATTGATATATCTACGTGAATTACGTAATTTATATGCTATTTAGCCGTATAAAAACTACAAAATGACTCAAAATTAAAATAAGACTACTATGAGATTGATGTAAACATCCAATGCTTAGGTTTTCATCAGTTAAATATGCTTCATATGCATATACAAATAAACATATTGTACAAAAGCTTATACTTTTATTTCACACCAAAGCTACACTGTTTCCATGTAAATTTGCAAAGAAGCAACACGGTGCCACGGCTAAGGGAGCGGTGCGAGAGAGACAACTGTCAGTTTATCGAACCTTGTATTATTGAGTCATGCAAGTATGCCATGTATTTTATATGGGGAAAAACAAATTTCATAGAAATGGTATAGAATTCTTGAAAATCAATATTTATCTATTTATTAAACTCTGTTTCTCTTTAGGAGATTCCCAATAATACCCAATTGTTTATTTAAGAATTTTTTAATGGTAATAGTTGCCAGTTTTATAGGTCCTGCAAAGACCCTAGATCAAAAATGCAAACGGGGGACCAATAAAAAATCGTTAGTATTAAAAAATGGTAAAATAAAGAATTGGATATTATTATTGGAAGTCTTCTGAGGAGAAGTAGAGTTCTTCGATCGAAAAATATTGATTTTCAGGAACTATGCCATTTCTACGAAAACTTGTTTTTTCCATTATAAAATAGATGGAAAAAATTGAGCACTTTGAGCACTCTCTAAATAATTTTTGATCTTAAAATAAAAAATAGGGGTATATGTTTTTCGGTATTTAACAATCCTAGGGGGTGGCGGCATTGAAATTTTGACTTTACTTTATTTTGGGCCACCCTAACGTGCATACATATACATATATAACGCCTCATGAGGCGTTACTCTTTTTAAAGTTGAATAGTGTTGTGATTTTTTAACCGATTTAATACTTCAAAAGCTTGCTGTAAAGGTTATTTTACGTACATTTTAAATAAAACATAATGCAGAATTTTTCTAATATATACATAGTTAAAAAAAAAGAAATGCAAAGGCAAAGAAATTGGTGTAATTTCGACATTTTTTGTCGAACATGCTCAACCCGGAACCCCTAGGAGCCACCTGAAAGCTTTTAAACCAATAACGTATTTATTTATATCCCCAACCTCACATTATTCTGTGCGAGAACTTTTGGATTCATGCATATAAAATTTTTCATACAACATAAAGGCCACTCTAATACATACATATCCATATACATATGTCTTTATATGTAACAATGACTTTGTAGCAACCCTGTAGTCAAATGAATTAGTTGTACACTACCTCACAACTAGTATGAACCGCATGCCCAATTAGTTAGCCAACTATCTTTTTTCCATGCCATCAACTGGTATTTTTCAATTGTCAGATTGCGGTCAGAAATATACCAGTCTCATACCAGTTGAAAATATACAGAAAAATACTAGTCCAATTATGGACCAAAACCACTACTTTGGGAGTCAAAAAATAAAATGAATTCATGAATATACAATTAAAAAAAAATCGTTTGATTAAGTACACTTTATTTTACATATATTCTTATTTAGCAGCCTTAGACTTGCCAATAATTAGTGTTAAATTTTTTAAGTATTAAATAATAGCAAAAATTAGTACATAAATATTCGAAACTTTCGAACATAAATTTAAATGAATTTTTCTTTAAATGTTATTAAAAGTAAAAGGTTTCAGATACAATAAATACTATATTTTTAACCTTTTTAATTATATTCAATATGCAAAAGAAAACGTTTTAGTTAAAAATAAAATGAATACTCCAGTTCACTTTTGAGTGAAATAAAATAAAAATAAAAATTAGCATTAAACTTTGGACGTTTTAGTCTATTCTTTTTAAAAATTTATAAAAGTAATAAATAATGTTTATAATTTGAAATTTGGATAAGAATAAAATAAATAAATAGTTCAAGCAGTTATTAAGTATTCTTAATTTTTGTCTATAGTTTGGATTGTTGATTGGTAATAGAAATTAATCAAATAATTATATTTATCATGTAAT